CCCAGGATAAATTAATTTAGATGCCAGTTCTCAGGGAACCCTACCTGTCCTCCCCCAACTGAGTTTGCTCATGACAGTAAGTAAATGAGAGGCGATCTGACATTATTACCTGCATGACCTAACTCATTTTGAAGTCGCCAATTAACAGGAAGGCTGCAATTTAACTCAGCTTCTGACAAATCACTTTTATTCTTCCAATCCTCATAACTGTTGAGATCACAACATCCTACAAGTCACAGGTCAAGTCCTGGATTGCTTCTAGCTTGTTATAAAACTTTAAGAGGAAGGAAACCACTACAGTTTGGTTCCCATGCCATCTTACACCGGCACCGTATAGGGTGTTTTAGCAGGTCACCTCTGTGAGAAAGCCAGGCCAAGGGATCCTGACAACAGATTTGGGGAAACACTGTGTTTTTCTGTCTATTATTTCCCCCAGGCTCAAGCAAGAAGCCAGGTTCTTCCTAATTCTTTGTCTCTGTATTTTGTTTTTTCAAGGCAGAAGTAACATTCTTCGGGGGGCAAGTCTAACTTAATCTGAGAGCTGGAACAGCAGAAGTGTGAAACTTGCCCTGCCTCCACCCCCAAATAAAGAATCCATGGTTCCATTTTCCTTACGGTTCAAAAACCCATCCACTGTAAGCTACATCCTGACTCAGATGTTAAAATATAAACAGACGTTAAAATATAAACATATTTATAAAATATAAACAGTACATTGGATCAATAAAACATAGTATATACTATTTAGGGTGATTCTTAACATTTTCAAGAGTTCTACGGAATCCTCTGGTGATCCAGTCGTTAGGACCTGGTGCTCTCACTCCCGGGGCCCTGGGTTCAATCCCTGGTCGGGGAACTAAGATCCCACAAGCCCTGTGGCATGGCCAAAAAAAAGAAAAAGAAATTTTTAAGACTCTCTTTGGAGTAGGAAATGGCAACCCACTCCCGTATTGCTGTCTGGAGAATCCCATGGACAGAAGAGCCTGGCTGGCTACAGTCCACGGGGCTGCAAAGAGTCGGACACAAGTGAACTAACGAGCACACGCCTCTGGACAGTGAGTTCAGGGTGTTCCTCCGATGAATGAAGACACCCTCTCCCATTCCACATGCCCAACCTCTGTGTAGATAAAAGTGATCTATAAAACAGCACAACTGGAAAAAACTCTGCAATCATCAATTGACTCACTTGAAATATCATAAGTAATTGGAATTTTTAAAATAGCTAGCTATTCACATTTGTTTTATAGATAATAGTATATTATGATAAAAGAAAGTATCTAAGCATTCTCTAGTTGTTTTCTCAAAGGATCATCGAAGAACACTTTGCAATAGTATCTAGTGAGCTTCTTAAAAATGCTGATTTCTGTCTCACTGCAGCAAACTTGCTGAAATAGAATTTCTGTAGACAGCACTCTAGAATGTGCATTTTAGTACAGTGCTCACTGTGATTTTTATGCTCATTAAATCTTTAAAGTCACTGTGCTAGAGGCTAAGATGGTGTAAAGAAATTTTAGCTAAAACAGCATTTCAGTGAAGGTTTCTTAACTTTCTACAGCAATTTCCACTACAATGGATAAAGCAGGCTTAGAGAATGTTTCTTATTTTCTCAGGCCATTCTAAACATTTGACATAGGCAAACTGGAGTATGCCTAGAAAAAAGAATAATTAGCTTGGCTCAAAATTGGTGATCAATATATATTTGTTGAATAAATGAATATAACATAAACAGAAAAAAAAATATCTCTTTGGGGGACTTCCTGGTGGTCCAGGGGTTAAGAATCTGCCTTGCAGAGCAGGGGTTGTGTGTTCGATCCCTGGCCAGGGAACTAAGATCCCATATGCTGTGGGGTAATTAAGCCCAGGGGCCACAACTAGAGAGTTTGTGCACCACAATGAAAGATTCCATGTGCTGCAATTAAAACCCAGTGCAGCCAAATAAATTAAAAAAAAAAAAATGTTTTAAATCTCTTTAAATGTCCATGAGTTTTCCTGATTGAGAGAACAAGTTCTTGGTATTATGGAAGCAAACACTCATATGAAGGCACACCACTGTGATGTCACAGCTCTCTGGGAAAAAAATAGATTCTATAAGTTTCCAGAAAGGGGGTGGGGGATCAAGAATTGGAATCTTTTAAAAAGAATTAGAAGAGCTAGAAGATAACAGAGGAATACTTTCATAATTCTGAAGGAAAAAATTTCCAATCTACCCTTCTTCACCTAGTCAAACTATTAACTATGTGTTACAGTGGAATGGAGACACTGTGAAAGATGTGCCTCTTGATTTACACATGCATCCTTTTTTAGGAGACTATCAGAGGGTGTGTGTTTCCCGAGTCAGAGTGAGTCCAGATGGAGGAGGACACTGGTCCTGGGAGGCAGAGGATCCAACCCAGGAGAAAGGGGAAAGGGCTTTCAACAGGCACATGCAGGAGACCCCAGGCCACCAGCTGTGTCCAGGTGAGAAGGCCGGGTGAAAGGAGGTCAGACGCTCCCAGAGAGGGCTGGTCAAGAGGACAACCCTGATAGAACACCTGCTGTCTCTCAGTTTCCTGAGCGAAGACTCAATTAGTAAAGTTAGTGACTAAGTATCGAGAGATCTCAGAAATGGAAAATTACAATCTCCAGGAAAAATCAGAAATTGGACAGCAAAGGAAAAGCACTCATAGACCACTCAGCGGCTCCTCCTGAAAGTGTTTATGATATCCTAAGGTCATCACTGGTTATTGATCTAACCCAAAGACACAAAGGTGTCTGTGTAATGGGCGTGGGGAAGGGGTGGCCCAAGAGGGCTAAAGCCCCATTTGTCAGAGTGCAAAGCCAAGGATAACAGCATTGGTGGGGGAGGGATCAGGAACATTATAAACACATTATTTAGGTCTAAGAGACGCGAATGTGGGCACCTCTGGTCCAGCAATGGTGGGGGAAACTTACATGCCTAACTGTAGGCCAAGGACTCTAAAACCTGTGCATATAGAGATTGCCAAAAATAAAAACTCTCGTAGTAATTCAGGACAATTTTTCTCACATGTTTTTCCATCAGTTTCCAAAAACATATTGAAATCAAGAAGTCTACATGCCAACACATTGACAGTGGTTATTTCTAGTAACAGAACTGTGGGCCATTTACATTTTTTTCTCTCACTTTCCTATTTCCAGAGAAAGCATGGAACATGGAGTCTGTTGATCATAAATCAGAAAACAAGAGGTGTTTTACTTTACACCTAGTCCGCATCCACACCAGGGGAGAAGCCCCACCTCTGTCACTGTAGCTGCCACTACCTCTGGAGCAGAGGAGCCTGCCAACTCCTTCATCCACACAGCAAATATTTGTTGAATTCCTATAAGCCAGGCCCTGCAAGGTGATTCCAATACCCGAGCTTTCTATTGGATCTCCCAAAAGCCTCAGTGCCAGCTGGGGGAACAAAATGGGGGATGGGCTGAGCCAACACTTCAAACTCTCTATACACTGGAACCAACCAGGATGTATTCAGTTGGTCTGGGGTGTGCTCTGAGTCTCTGGAAAAGTGGATGAGCTATGTTACACGCTTTGTTGAAGTTTCTCAGGGGAACTGGGGTCCTCAGGCACTTTGGTACCATCACGGCCCCAAGCTCATATAAGCTAGATTTCAATCCCACAAAGGTTCAAGTGAAAGTATCAGGGATATGGGGCTTCCCCCAGGTGGCATAGTGGTAAAGAATTCCGCCTGCCATCGGAAAAAGCCATGGTCTCCTGCCCGTTTGTATGACACCCTTTTTGAAATACACCAGCCCGGAAATCAAAAACAAACAAAAAAGAATTTGCCTGGGAATCCAAGCGATGTGGGTTCAATCCCTGGGTTGGGAAGGTCCCCTGAAGTAAGAAATGGCAACCCACTCCAGTATTCCTGCCTGGGAAATCCCAGGGACAGAGAAGCCTGGTGGCTGCAGTTCATGGGGCCGCAAAGAGTCAGATACAACTGAACAGGGCCCAAATAAGCTGTGAGCTATGGCAGAAGGAAGGGATGCCCCGTAACAGTTAAGAGCAGGGCCCTGGAGACAGGCAGGCCTGGGTTTGAATCCCACCTCCACCCCCAGGTGTGACCTACTTCCTCTCTAAACCTCAGTTTCCTCACATGTAAAATGGGGTAATAATCAAAGCTCCCTTCACAGGATGGGCTTCCCACGTAGGCTCAGAGGGTAAAGAGGCTGCAGTCCACGGGGTCGCAAAGAGTCGGAGACGACTGAGCGACTTCACTTTCTTTCACTTTTCACAGGATGGGGCTGTTGTGTGGGAAATGAGGGCAGGAGGGTATCTGAAGGGCTTGATGAGCTCCTGGCACCTGAAGAGAGTAAACAGTAACCTCCGTTAGCTGTTAACAAGCCCGGGACCTTTCTCCGCCAGGAGGAAACCCGAAGGGGCGATAACTGGATGTCTCAGCGTCCACGTTCTCCTCCAGAGAGGAGAAGGCTGGTTCTGTGCCCCCTCCCAGGAACGGTCTGAGTCTTCAACCAGGATGTGCAAAGCACCAGACAAGAAACTCTCTGATCCTCAAAAAGCACCAGACAGGAGACCCTCGGAATTTATTCCGTAGACACTTCCCGATTCACCTCAGTTTACTACCAAGGAGATAATCAGGAAAAAGAAGTCTTCTCCCCTGATCTTCGAGAAGCTTTGCTTCTGGGGAAAAGGGCACCAGATGTCCCTGACTCTCATGAACACAAACTCAGTGTCCACCGAGCATCCCGCTCCGGGGACACGCCACGGCCGCGCAGAGGGCCCAGCAGGTCGGGTTTCTCCCCAGCAGTCCTCCCAAAGCTCATGACCCTCTCCCCTAGAAGAGCCCAGGGGAGACGGGACTCTCTCCTGAGAGGGGGTCTCTGAGTCCGGCACCTTGGGATGACGGCGAGGCTGAGCCTAAAGCGTTCCTCCGAAGCCGTCGGAAGGATGTGAACAGGCTCCCAGGCGAGGAGCACGGCGCGGGGTCCCCCTGCCGCCCGCCCGCCCGCCCCGAGGCACTCACGATCTCCGCCACGATGAGGAGCCCGGGCAGGGTGCGGAGGAAGTCGCGGTCATAGGAGAAGCTGCTGCTGGTGGTGGAAAAGTTCTCGGCGAAGGAGCTGGCGGTGGTGGTGACCGTGTGCGAGCGGGCGCGCTGCGTCTCCTCCATCGTCGTGCCGGGGCCGGGCAGCGCCGGCCCCGCCTCGGGGACCCCCGGCGCGTCCAGGCGGGCCGCGCGGCTCCGAGCCCGGGGACCCCGGCCGGGGGCGGGGGGAGGGGAGCGCGGCGGCGGGACGGGGGCGCGCGGGGGGCGCCCGCCGGGCCCGTCTGGCCGCGGTGCGAGTCTGGCGAGCGCGCGGCGCCCCCTTCTCCTCGGCGAGCGCGGGCTCTTGGGCTGCGCGGGGGCGCCGCTGAGGGAGACCCGGCGAGGGGGAAGCCACCGGCGGCCGAGGGAGGCGGCGGAGGCCCGGCCGAGGGGAGGGGGCGTGGAGAGGGGCGGGCGCTCAGTGGGCGGGGAGGGACCGCCCCGCGGAGGCGCCGCGGGCCGGCGGGCGCTTCACCTGTTGCTCGGCCGGGAGGGCGCGGGGGCGCGGGGGCGCGGGGACTGCAGAGGGAGGCTCGGGGTCGCGGCCGCCGGCTGCTCGGCTCAGCCAGGCGCCGCCTCCCGGGGGTGGGTCACTGCTGACCTGTCTCTTTGCACCTGGCGGCGGCCGGCCAGCCGCTCGGGGGCCCCCGGGAAGAGCCAGGCCTCCGGGCCGCGTGGCTCCGGGAATGGAGGGGTGGGCGGGGCGACGACTCCAGGTGGCGAAAGAGCGGCTGGAGTTACGACCTGGCCGGACCTTAGACCCGGACGAGATCGATGCGTGGCCGCCGGGACAGCCCGGCCGGAGCGTCTCCCCCTCCCGCCGCGGTGGCCGCCGCAGCCGGGCGGGATTTCCTGCCCCTCCTGCCGGGAACAATTTGAGGAACCGGCTTCATCGCCGGGCTTGGAAGGCGAGACGCTTCCAGGCGCTCTCAGAGGCTCGATCGCACGGATGCGGGGAGCCTCAGGGCCGCGCCTGGCCCGGAGATGGGAACGGGGAGATCTTTGGAGGGCCCTCGTCACGATGAATCAGTGTCCCATCACCCTCGGGAGGAAATGTTGGGGGAGAGCTTGAAAACTGTGCGTTGTGCAAAGTGAAGTTTCTGACTTTCGCTGTGCTTTCTGGGGGTGCGGGAGGGGATGAGGGAGCCCCACGCATGGAGGCATGTCAGGCTGACCCAAATTTCAACACTTGCATTTCTCAGCCGTGTGACCAGGAGCAAGGGGCCCTACGTCTCTGGACCTCAGTTGAACCATCTGTAAAATGCCTAGGTGGGCACCTTGCCAACAAGAACATCTTCCTGGTACACTCTCCTGTCTGGTGAACGAGTGGCAAGAAATATTCTATTTTATTCAGGAACGCCCTAAAGGAAAGGAAATAATCCTTGTTCACAAATAGAGGGTTGCTCTCAGGTCACAGCGAAGGCATTCCATTCCTTCTTTATCTGTTCCAAGACACCTTTGGGAAAAGGTCAGAAGGGACATTTTTTTTCCACAATGACCTGTCAGCTGAGTGAGCCGAGAAGAAAGCAAAAACGATCAATACAATCTAGTAAAACAAGGAATTCGTCTCTTTTAGGTCTAGGGCCTACGCAGGAGGACCTCAGGAAGTAAAAGACTTAAAAAGCATTACTGGACTTCCCTGGTGGTCCAGTGTTTAAAAATCCTCCTGCCACTGCAAAGGACACCAGTTGGATCCTAGGTGGGCGAAGAGCCCACGAGCCATGGAGTAGCTGAGCCTGTGCCCCACAACTGCTGAGCCCACACACTGCAACAAGAGAAGCCAATACAATGAGAAGCCTGGGCAGTGAGGGGCCCACGCACCACATCGAGAGTATCCCCTGCTTTCTGCAACTAGAAAAAGCCTGAGTGCAGCAACCAAGACCGACCACAGTCAAAAAATTAAATAAATCGTTTTTTAAAAATATAGGCAAAAGCTGCTAATAGACATTTCACTTCTAGGGAGATACATGGATGGCAAATAAGTGGCTCCGTAGCTTGCCTGTGGTCGTGGTGGTGACAAGGGGGTGTGTGCATTTTTGTTTGTTTAAAAAAAAAAAAAGCATTGCAAAGATGATGATATTTAGAGCAATTCCATCTGTGAACATGTGCTGAGCATCTCTGGCTGGTAGGTAAACATGACAAAAAATATAGCCCTTTCCCCTTGAGCAGTGGTTCTCAAAGTGTGGTGCCTGGACCACCAGCATCAGCATCACCCAGGAGCTCTCAGAAAGGGAAGTTCTCAAGCCCCACCCTGGATTCACTCATCAGAAACTCTGAGGGCGAGGACCCGGAGGCTGTGTTTGAACTATCCTTCCAGCAGACTCTGATATGCACTGAAGTTTGAGAGCTAGTGGATTAGAGAAACCGATCTCGCAGCTGCAGAAATAAAAGATACACATGGAATGGCTTGAGAAGTAGTTTGTGGCATCACGAAGGACATTATCAAAGGCAGGAAGGGAGGAAGGAAGTTAAGACAGCTCTATTTCTGTATCACAAAGGACAAGCCCATCTCAGAAAACCCCTGAGAACAAATGGACTTCAAAACTCAGATCTTTAATTTAGGAAGGTAAAAATGTACATATGCCATACACTCTATAACACCTTCAGTGTGGTGGAATGGCACCTGAATCAAATACACTCCTCTGGGGCAACGAAAATACATGAACGAAATAAGTGTGTGTTTGGCTTTTCTACTGCCATGTGATAAATGCTTCCAAACATTAGTGGTTTAAAATAACAACCATCTTACTCATGAATCTGTGGGTCAGGAATTTGGGTGGGACTTGGCAGCAGATTCGACTCCTCACGCCTGTTAGAGTCATTCACTCAGCTGATTTCAACAGGGGCAGGGCAGGCCTGGAAAGTCTGAAAAGCCTTCATTCACATTCTGTTTGCTTCCTTTCTGGCACTTCAGTGCTCCACTACCTGGTCTCTCTCTCTCTCTCTCTCTCTTTCCATGAAGCTTGGGCTTCCTCACAATATGGTGGATTCAGAGTAGATGGACTTCTACACAGAAGTTGGCATCCCGGAGGGGAAAAAAGAGCAGAAGTTTCAGATCTCTTAAGGTCCAGCCTTGAAAACCACAGAGCATCACTTCTGCCCCATTCTATTAGTTAAAGCCAGTAACCAGGGCAGCCTGATTCAGACAGCGGGGAAACAGATGAGATGAGAGGAGCAGAAAACGATTGTGGCCGTGTCTTCATCCATGAAGTGGAGCAAATAGACAACAACTAACTTCCTACCAGGTTAATTTGGCTGTTTCTCCAGATACAGCTTGAGAGGAAGCTTTTGGGTTTCAGCATCTTAGATTTCAGAATTACAAAAAAAGCAATTCTACACTGGTTGTTGACAACTGTCCTCTTCTTCCCAGCTGCTGCCTAAATCCACGTGCTCTCTTCTGCCTGCAAGCCTCCTAGTGGGATGCCTGTACCTCCAATGAAGTATTTTTTCAATCCACCCTTCATTTTGCTGCAAGAATTATTGTCCCGAAATGCCAGGCTCAGATCTGGGCTGACGTCTCACTGTGCAGTATAAAAGCCACGAGGAGGAAGTGCACCCCACACTTCTGCCCCTTTCCCAACTGCTCTGTGATGCTCCCCATCCCAACCCCAAATACATCTTCACATGTCTCTGTAGGTATGACCGCTTTATACCCATCACCAGCTTTTCTCGGCCTAGAAAGACTCCTACTTCATCCACAGCTCCAGTCTGCATCCTTCAGGTCCATTTCAAAAGTCACCTTTCTGTGATTTCCTCTAGGTTTTCATAAAGCTTGCTCTTGTTTTCTTTCATTTACAATTCATTAATTTTATGCACCTCTCCTTACCTCTTCCTGAGGGACCTGAGTTACCCTTCCTTATCTCCCTCCCTGCCAGAGGAGGTGTTGAGTGAATGCAGAAATGCAAACTTCATTCTTTCTTTCTTTGTCTTCATGGGTCTTACCTGCAGCACCTAGGATCTTTCGTTGCAGCACACAGACTCTCTAGTTGGGGAGTACAGACTCAACAGCTGTGGCGCCCAGGTTTACTTGCTCTGAGTCACGTGGGATCTTAGATTTCTGACCAGGGATCAAACCCGTGTTCCCCTGAATTGCAAGGTGGGTTCATAACCACTGGACCACCAAGGAACCCCCCCAAACTGTATCCTTAAGCGCAGAAAAGTGTCAGAGCAAGCAAAGGTAGGCCCTGCCTTCCTGTGAAAGACTTCATGCAGAACAGAGCTTTGAGCTGAGACTTGTGGGAGGTATATAATTTGTTAAACTGGAGAAGGTGGACAGGTAAGAAAGACATCACCCCAGCCTATAGGACCAGGCCAGGTGACACCACAAGTCCCCCATGAGTAGGCCAGGTACAGATAACAGAGAATCTAAGGAGATCTGTTTGCATGGAAGAAAGGACTTGTGTGGGGTATGTTGAGGGTTTATACAGAGTCAAATTATGGTTTCTACTAGGTCATAATACCCAACAAGCAAGCTATGAGACATAGTACTGCCAAGAGTCTGTGGAGCCCAGGCCACTCCATAGAGATGCAAGGCTCATTAATAATCCAGTGAAAAGGGGGGCACCTTGTGATTTCCACCTGCTATCTAAAAGAGGATCAAGGGACGTTTTCATTTATAAAGAATTTTTTAGAGATATGCCTAACACATGTTTCTCTTCATTATTATTCTAGTTTAAAACTAATTATGGTTGTTTCAGGCAATCATCATCAAAGGATATTAGAATTAGTGGATGAAAGTATGATGCGAATGAAAAGAATATTTGCATCATCTCAGAGTATCTCCCCAGAAGATACAGTTTTCCCTTTGAATACTTATGAATTTATAAGTAACTTTACAGGGGAGGAGACCTGTGAGACACCACCAGACGGCAAAGTCACAGTCACCAGATAGTGTTGTAACTCCCGACGTGAGGCATCGAGAAGGAGGTAATGTCACTTCCATGGGCTTCTTATCAGGATGAATAACCCAACTTCAATCACGAGGAAGAAACTGACAGACTCAAATCAAGAGGCATTTTACTTAGTATCAAGGTCAGGAAAGACAAACACTGAGGAACTGTTCCACACTTGAGAGCCAAGTGCAAAGTGAAATTGCTAGAGGACTCTAAAAAAAAACCTCAGTATGATAGCAGGGGAAATCTGAATAAAATTCTGTACGTTAGATAACTGCATTGTATCCATGTTAATTCCACAATTCACATCTTATGTAAAATGTTAACATTTGTGGGGTCTGGATGGTACTTTACAGGAAGTCTTTGTTTTTTTTCCTTGCAACTTTTTGGTTAGCTTGAAATTATTTCCCAAAGTTAAGAAAATCAAAATAGTGATTTATGGTTGATCACAAATAGAGTTCTCCAATTCCAACTGTAGTTCAGATCCCCCAAGCACAATTGGCTGGGTGATTTATCCACCCCAGAACTTCCTGTTTCCATCCACTTATTATTAAGGTCTTGTCGGGAATCCAGGAACTTGGCTGAGAAGTGAGAATGTTCTTTCCACTCAGCCCTGAAAGCTATCAGTCAGTCTGGTCTATTCCTCAATTTGAGAACAGGCAGACATTGGGCCCAGATCCATTCACCTGGGTCTGGGTGTAGAGAGGGTCTGTGTGAGTTCCAAGATACTCTATCGATTTGACCAGAGGCTTTAAATCCTCTGGAGTTTAGGCAGATAAGTTCAAACAAGTAGATGCATCAGTCCCTTTTGTTTCAGAATGGCTTCTTGAATTATGGTCTTCTAACCAGATACACTGGGGCTTAAATATTAACTTTGTAGACACTTCTTCCCTCACACAAAGGAGTCAGTTCACTCCCTTTTTTCTTGAAGTACATGCTCTCCTGGGTCACACTGTATTTTGGTGCTTTAGTTTTAAGCACAGGGACCAGAAATGTTTCATTTTGTTCTTACCATAAAGCCACATTTGGGAATCTGAGAATGTAATGAAATCAGTTGTGGGGGATGTAACACAGAGTGGTAGGGTCTGTGGTGAACAGGAGCAGGAATGCTTTAGGAGAGCCAGCTGGGTTTC